GATGGCTTTGGAAATCTAATTGAAATGCTGTTTTAGAGATGAGCTCATTAACAGCATTCTGGCAGAGATAGTTTAAAAAAGAAAGAGGGAGACTAGGCCATGGAAGTGAACCTGAGAATTAAAGGACCATTTTCTGCAGGATTGCTAATTAGTGAAATGTTTGTACTGCCCATTAAAGATGAGAATTTCTACACTAAGCACTTTTCAATCCTGCACTTGTCTTCCACGGAAGAAAGCAAAATGGGTAGGAACCATGCTATGCCGGGCCAGAGCTCAGCATCGGAACCATGAGCCCCACCTTTTCCATAGCTGCCTAGGGCCGAGCTGTGGCACCATGACGGGTTGCTGCCCCACACACTCAATGTGACCACTCATCACCTCTTTCCCAGAGAATGAGAGGAAGTATATGAAGTATATGAAGATACTCGGTTGACTTACAAGAAACACCTTTGCTTTATTTTTCATTTTGCCATTGGCAGACCAATCGTGCATCCAAACCAGGAAGTCAGGAAGGATGTGAGACCTGAGAGATGTGCCACCCAAGGATGGGCATGTTTTAAATGGAGCTGGGTTGGCCCCAGTGACAACATCAGGGATGCATTTGGGACACAGTGACTCAGCTGTGGGGAACAGTGTAGGCAAGGAGCCCAAGAGTCCTTTATAGTCATGGTGTAACGCCAGAGCAAGGCTCAATTAGAATTTGAAAATCCTCACCACTCTTAAGAATTCTCACAACTTTCACAACTGTGATGTCTAAGTAGTTAATATCCTCAAGTGTAAAAAATGCTTTGAATCGATTGAAACAGAATATTTCCATTTTGAAAAAGGTAGGGTAAGAAGATAAACAGTGGAGGTGTGGCACTGTCACATTACATCAGCAAAGATATGGGGGAAAGCATTACCAGTGTGGGCAGTAGTTGGGCAACTAAGCACTCTGAGATTATAAATTGGTTCAGCCTCTGGAAAGCTATCTTTGGTAATACTTTTCAAAAATGTTGAATGTGTTCACACTTTATTTTTGGTGGTACTGGTTTGAACTCCGGGTTTGGCATGAGGCAGGTTCTCTACTCCTTGGGCCATGCCTCCAGCTCTTTTTCCTCTGGTTATTTTGGGACAGGGTCTTGCTTTTTGCCCAGGCTGGCCTAGACTTCAGTCCTCCTATTTTGTGCTTCTCGCCATAGCTGGGGTGACAGGCATACCCCATCAATCCATTTTTTTTCCCCATTGAGATGAGATCTTGCAGATGCTTTTGCCTGGGCCAGCCTGGACTATGGTCCTCCCAATCTCGGCCTCCCATGTAGGTAGGATTGTAGGCATGAGCCTGTGCCCAGCTTGTGTTCATGCTTCTCGATCTAACAATTCTTCTAGGATTTTTCCCCAAAAAAACAGTGTACATAAAAAATTTCTGTACATTGTGTATGATAGTAACAAAGAGAAACACCCTAAATGCCTAACAGAGAAGACTGTTGAGGTGACTATAGGTGGTTGATGTTTGTGTAACTTGTTAATTTCTTAATGCATTTATGTATTTTACAAATGTTCCACACTGAGTATATATTAGATAGTAAATAATGATTGCTACTTTATAATAAAAAGGAATATGGGATGGGGTGCAAGGCAGGTGTTGAAAGCCCAGCTCAGTAGCAAGCTGCAATTAGGGGACCCTTCCTGGGGCTGTAGACTAATATTCCATCCTAATCGGGGGTTCTGACATTGGCAGAACATGCCCTTCCTCCCTCCCTTTGGCTTGGAGTCAGGACAATAGACAGATCAGTGGAATGGGGACCAAGAGATTATGCAGTGGCCTAGGTGGGTGGAGATAAGAGATGGAGTACCCTGAGGCTCAGAGGTGAGTGTGTTGGTGGTTTGACACTGGAATGCTCAGAGATCAGCATAGAAGATCAGTTAGCTAACGTCCCAGGTTAGGGCCATCACACGGTGACTTTTCCCAGTCCACGAGTCCACAACCCTTCCTGAGACAGCATGAGAAGATTATTTCATTCTCTTCTCTGGTGAACAGGGCCCCCAGTCTCTGAGGTGCTTCTCATCTCAAGACCAGGCCATTCAGCTGGGATCAACTAAAGGAGAGCAGAAAGGGAGGAGGCAGGAAGCTTTTCTGATTCCCAGATACCACCATGACCAGGATTTACTACTAGTCAGATTGCCTATTGCAAACTCTTACTGAAGTGTCCGAGTTCTTTGTGGCATTTGTAGTGCTTGAGATAAGCAGCTGCTGCCTGGAACGTCGAGTATGTGTTGGTCAAAGCAGCTTTCTTTAGAGCCACACTCGTCACTCCCACCCGGTGGAAGTGGTAGTGAGCATGGTAGTGATTTGGGAAAAGTCCTGTTTTCTGAATCCCGTACCTCAATGGTAATGTCAGAAGAACTAGCAAGAAACCCAAAAGCCTGTGGCAAGGGGCTCACATGTTGTAGGACCCAATAACAGAAGCCATCAAGTTCCTTCTTCACCTTCCTGAGCAGCCTCACGTGTGTTTGTGTGTTTCCAGGGCTACGAGATACACATGTTTGATAGTGCAATGAATATCACAGCTTACCTTGGGAATACTACTGACAATTTCTTCAAAATTTCCAACCTGAAGATGGGTCATAATTACACGTTCACTGTCCAAGCGCGATGCCTTTTTGGCAGCCAAATCTGTGGGGAGCCTGCTGTGTTGCTCTATGATGACCTGGGCTCTGGTAAGTCATTGTGGCTGCCCAGGTCCGTGTGCCATTCCAGGGAAATAACAGGAATGCAGTAGGGTCTGTAGAACGTGTGTCTTTCTTAACCATTAAAATACTCTCTCAGCTCAAAAGAAAATCACTTAGGACTCTATTTAATCAGGACCTGATTTAGTTAGCAAATACTTCCTGAGCCAGGCATGATAGGAGGAACTGGGATTATAATGAATATAAGTGCAAGAAAAGGAAGGTTTTGTTTAAAAAGGACGTCCTGTCTGGGAAGTGCTAGGTTAACAAGGGTTGGGCAGTTTGTTTTCCTAGGACTTCCCAGAGCCTATAGCATGCTAACAACACACCCCATGATTCTCCAAGTCACTAGCTCAACTCCTCATCGTGGAGTATCTCCCCTTTCAGCCATCCTGTCATCTTAGCTCAGCCTCAGGTGAGGACCCAAATTTGGTCTGAGATCTCTGGGACCCTTGTGGGTATCAGTATTAGACCACAGAAAGTTCTTTTACATTGTAGTATCTTGGCTAGGATTTTAGGAAACATTTTGCCACTGGTCCTTTTAGATACTTGTACTCCTGGCCAAAAATTTAGCCAGGGCTCAAGCCCCAACCTTGTGTTAGAGCTGTTAAATTCTCTGTTGCCTAATGCTTCCCGGTGTGACTGAAGTATTGCCTTTCACCTCCCTTTGGAGGGTCATGACATTAGAGACTCTAGAAAGGTCCTACTAAAAGATAAATAGCAAAACTCTTGTTAACCTTAATAGTGCTCTGTGTTTTCTAAGCAAAACCACTAGCAACCTGTGCAGTGCACTGGGAAAAACTGTCGTGAGGACCGCCACCAGTGGCCTTCATGAAACCAAGGTTGTTGGGGGCTCACTCACTCCTCTTGCTCCACCGCGCTGTACCCAAGCACATGCCTTTCTTTAATTTACCACTGCACATAAGGATGGGAAGAGTCACATTAAATACAGTTTTGCAAGAATTTTTTTTTCTGGCCAAGAAATAGTGAAAGAAATTTAAATATAGACATGAATGTTGAATTGCTAGGTTAGGCTTGCAAGAATTGACTAATCTGGCTGGGTGAGGAGGGGCATGCCTGTAAATCCTTAGCTACTCAGAAGGCAAAGGTAGGAGGATTGAGGTCTCATACTGGCCTGGGTAAAACTGGAAGACCTTATCTGAAAAAAACGCTAAAAAAGTGAAAAGGATTAGAGGCGTGGCTCAAGTGGTAGTGCTCAAAATAAAAGAAAAGAAGGGCTTCTCTCTGGCTCTTCTTTGTGAGTACCCTGTGGGTGGAAGCTGGGTAGCTGTGGCACTTTCTGCATGAGGCAGAGGCCTTGCCTGGCTCCCCTTCCTTAGCAGCAACTCTACGGTCTGTGAAGACCTATATGGAGGAAAGTCCGCTTACTTCCTTTGCTAAAAACCAACTTCTAAGCACCATTTTCCTGCTTCAAGTTTGGATTTGCTCCTGGTTGCTTTCTTTTTCTTTTTGTGTTGGTGGGGGGAGCAGTACTAGGGATTGAACCCAGGGTCTTACACATGCTAGGCAAGCATTCTGCCACTTAAGCTACTCCTCCCTTCTTCCTCCCCACTCCTACCAGGCACTTATCCCAGGATTTTTAACATGAGAAGTCCACCCTCTTTCATGGAAATGCCCCCTACCTCAGCAGGGTGTGAGCTGGGGGATGGCTTTGTACCCCCAGTGGTACAGATCTGTTGGTAAATCACCTCAAAGCTTGCATTTGTTTAAGGCCATGGGAAGGTGGCAGCTTTGTTAGGTTATAAACACCTAAACGGCTTTGAAGAGAACTTTAGAAAATGTTAAGTGCATATGGAAAGGTTGTTTCTCCCATTTTTTTACTTAAGTTAAAAAAAAACAAGACCTCATAAAACTTCATGAGCTGTTAAGTCAGTATTGTAGTAAAGGAATCTCGTTTGTATCACTTAATGGAGCTTCAGGTAATTGCAGTTCAGAGTGACTTTGGTGCCAAGTAGGGGGAAATAATTCCAATCTCGTTAATTAGTGGTCTGATTTCACATCCTCTTATGTAAGGCAAGCAAGTGGTCTTAAGTAATAATGCTAATGAAATCAGTGCTGATACCCCAACAAAGGTCTCCCTTCCAAGAGATTATCTAAATAACCAACAAGGCAGTGATTAGGAGTCTAATGTAATTACTGTGTTTGCATGTGCAAGGCCCTGTTCTATCAGCTCATGGCAAGGAGTTGGGAAACATTCAGGCTCCATGCAGGCATCTCACACGTGCAGGATCGAGATACCCCAGGCAGGTGGTTTGATTGAAGTGGCTGTTGCCAGCTCCTGGCTTTTTGGTGGGTAGGGTCTTGAGGTGTTGTCTGGTCTACTCTCCCACCCTCAGGAACAAGGCTCATTGGTGGGACTCTTGCCTCCACAGGTGGAGATACGGCAGCGGTTCAGGCTGCCAGGTCTACTGATGTTGCTGCCGTGGTGGTCCCCATCTTGTTCCTGATCTTGCTGAGCCTGGGTGTCGGGTTTGCCATCCTGTACACAAAGCATCGCAGGCTACAGAGCAGCTTCACTGCTTTTGCCAACAGCCACTATAGCTCCAGGCTGGGTTCCGCCATCTTTTCCTCAGGTGATGACCTGGGTAAGTGTGCAGGGAAGGTGGCTTCTTCTCTAGACAGACCCCCACAAAGCCAATGACCTGATCGGGAAAGACCCACTTCGGCTTATCCTTTCACATGAGAAGAGGTATTCATTAACTAGTGATTCTGACTTTAGGGTTAAGTCAGTTGGAGCCCTGGGCTTTTAACTTGCTCCTAAATTAAAATACCACACTGTCTTCAGGACTATAGTTTTGGCCTAGAACAGAGAAGAACTGGTAGAAGTTTGCCTTATGCAGGAAGGACTGATAGACACTGGAAACTCTCAAGAATATCTGTCTGGCCCCAGTGTGATCCTTCAGAGCTCTGACGTTTCTGAAGACCCTCATCAAGACACAAAGTAATGCATCCCAATCAGCTTCTGTTGGAAGAAGACTTTCCATGTGGCCACACCTCTTTCCAATTCCTGGTGCAGCCTCACCAGCCTTGTGTATGGCTGGCACATACCATGCGAAACCTTTGCACGTTGAAATTCCTAAACACTGAGAGAGCTGGTAGACCACTTGTGTTACAGGCTTCCCCAAACTCAGACTGCTAAATGTGAGTTTTCATGTTAATTTTTTCCAGGAACTAGTTGAATTATTCTTGGTTTCTAAAGACATTTACATACTCCTACTCACTGATGATATGATGCTATCCCTGCTCCTTTTCTTCTCGGTTTCCTCTTTTGCTTAATGAGCAAGTACCTGGAGCACCTTGCATGAATGGGGGTGGCTTCTTTGCTTCCTGCAAAGAAGAGTCAACCTGTTATGGTGCCACAGAATAATCACTGAATACAGATCAGGTTGGCCCTTAGTCATACAGGATTATACCAGGCTCTCAAAGGGACAGCCATTAATCTGGAAACTGTCCTCAAAATTTTTAAATCCCTCCAAGTGCCTTTTCTTCAGAGTAGTTTGGGTTCAAAAGGAAAGGCAAGGACTGGTGGGATAACTCAAGTAGTAGAGAGCCTGCCTCGCAAGTACAGGGCTCCAAGTTCAAACCTCAGCACCACCACAAAAGAAAGAAAAAAAAAAGAGAGAAAAGAAGCAGCAGACAATGAAGTTCATTGTACTGATGTGGGGTGTGGATCACTGAAATTGGGGAACATAGACAACCCATTTGGCTTTTGGATAGGCAGTGAGATTCCTGTGCCTCTAAGTTGTATGTGGTTAAAAGTTCAAACTACCCTTAAATAAGCTTAGTTAACTAGTGGTGGGGAGGTGACCCAAGAGTGGCAGAAGGAAGCTGAGCTGAGTTTGGGGACTAATTACTGTACCTGGTTATCTGTGGTGTTGGTTTAGCTGGGGACTTGTGGTAGGATTGGGGATGGACAGAGTGGTAGCACATAGGGTCGGGTGTAAGTGTGCTGGAACTCACCAATGCCTGACTGTTTTATCCTTAGGGGAGGACGATGAAGATGCTCCTATGATAACTGGATTTTCAGATGACGTCCCCATGGTGATAGCATGAAAGAGCTTTCCTCACTAGAAACCAAATGGTGTAAATATTTTATTTGATAAAGATAGTTGATGGTTTATTTTAAAAGATGCACTTTGAGTTGCAATATGTTATTTTTATATGGGCCAAAAACAAAGAAGGAAAGAAAGGAATGAATAAACTTTGTAGTTTAAACTGTGAACTTCAAGCCAGGTTGATTTTAATAACCACATTGCTTTGACTTGACATTGATGTAGTCTTACAGGGCTGTGCTTGCTGGGCATGCTTTTAAGTCTGTGAGATAATTTTGGTTCAATAAATTGACCATTCTTTTTATTTTTCTAAGACACAGAAATGTATTTAATAAAAACTTCAAGAGAGAGTGATGGGTGGAATCCCTTCTCCTTGAAAGTGTGTTCAAATTTTAAATTTGGGTTGGATTTAGCTGATATGAACGTGTTTGAATGTCTTAAGGGGGTTCTTTTATGTAGTTTTGTTAATTTATTGGGACTCTGTATAAGGCCAGGCTTTAGTGGTCATCTACCACTGCACATTTTCTAAGCCCCTCACCTACAAGGTTGGAGGATGGGGAACAAAGCATTTTGTTGCCATTCCAGAAGCCATCTACCTTTATTCACTTGTGTATCACCTAATGGTCTTTGGCTCTGAGTCCTCACTAGATTTCAGTTAAACAGAGCTAAAAGCCATGGCTTCTTCTGTTCTATGAATTGATAGGATTTTACTGTATCTGCCTTTGTCCAGTGTGTAGCTTTGAATGCCACAGAATGATAACACTGCTTTCCTATACACTGGGATCACTGTCCCTGTCAAAAATTACTCTGCTTGTGGGAGCAAAAAGTTCCAGATCTGGCAAATTTAGCACCCCATTTCTCTATTTTCAATTTCTTTGTTGTTTTCATACCACCAAAGAATCTCAATTGTAAAATGTTAGATTTGGGTTAAGGCTGTCACTGTATTGTTCTTAAAAATCCATTGTGATGTGTGCACTCATTTTGAATTTGGTCAGTGCCTTCTCTGCTTTATTTTTTTTCTTTCTTCCCACCTCCCTTGCTGGTGTCCCAACCCAATCTGTAGAGAAAGTGCTGTACACCCTCACACCTAGAGGTGAGATAAACATTGGACCACTCCATCCATTCCTCAAGCAGCATCAATTCTGAAGTTTCTTATTGTTTTTCCCTACTAAACAAGCTGTGTGTTTTTTCCTTCTGTCATTAAAATACTACCTGTGTATTCAAGTCATGGTCACTTGCAAGTTAGGTACAATCCTGATGGCCATGCTTTAGATTTAGTGGTGTAGGCACTGATATCTGTCTAGCATTATTGTGACGTGTCCTGTATAAACAACATCACAGCAGCATTTCCTTCTAGCAGAGAAGCAGTGAGCTTGGGAATATTCCAAAATCATGCCTTTGAACATGTGTCCTTTATATGCAAGCTTTGTAAAACCATGTCTCCCCTTCCTATAATATGTTACCTTCTCACAATGTTTGGTTTCTTTTAACCAAAAGTATCATTCTTGGGTGGTAATATAGTTTGAGTCTACCTAGGGATTGTTTGGAAAACTAAGTAAGAGCTGATTAATTGTTACAGTTTTTTGAATTTATATACATAGACATTCTGTATACCATTGCGGATAGGGTTCCTACTGTTGAAAGGTGGCAGTGATGAACCCTCGCCCAGCTTATTTCCTCCTCTTTCACTCTCCTTCGTACTAGACCAGAATTTCTTTGACTTTATCTTGTCTTATTTTGGAGTTTTGTTCAAATCTCCAGGCCCTACCACCTCTGCTTTATAAAACTGTTTAAGTAGCTGAAAGAAACAGTCTGGTGGGAGGCAAGCCATTCAATTGAACTACTAGAAAGTATATTTTCTTCTTTTCTTTTTCTGCCAACTTTTTGGTGATGTTTGTAAAAACTGAAGTGGAAGGCTCTGTGGTGTGATTTTCAACTATTCCATAAGCAAGCCTTTCTACAGAGCACGTCTCTGGTTGGCAACCTCAGATATTTCCCTGCAATTACCAGTGCCTCCCAGTGCTCAGTGCACAGTACTGTATGGACTGGCCATCACCCCTCTGTCGGAAGATGCCACTGTGCTGTTTGAAAACAAGCAGCCTTTTAGGGCTGGAGTATTTTATATAAACAGAAGAGCTAAGGTCCCGAAGACTAAGCCAGACAGATGCAGCTATGTGTAAATTGTATATTTTTATGAACTTTTGAAGCACACACTCTACTTCCCTCTGCGTAGCTTTGTGTGGGGGGAGGGTGTTGATGTATTAGTGCCGTCTGCAAGAATCCAGAGATTGAAGTGACAATAGGAAATGAAAACAAATGCACAGCCTTTGAAGGTGACCGGATAACTCTTCACTGTGACCACTTGGATCCTCCGGTTGCTTGCAAAGAAGGGGCTTTTGTACCATATTGGAGATGCCACCTTGAAAGTTCCCATTGTACAGGAAAAAGGTTTGCTCTGTCCCAGAGTACACTGGATGCCAGATGTTCTAATCCCTGTGAACCATGGTGGACCACTAAAAGTTGTTGGGCAGGAGGATGGTGTATAAGTTTTCTCTGAAAGCTCATTTTGCCCCTTTTCTGTGTTGAACACCCCTTGATCTCTGTGAGACACGGGTCCATGTAGGTGCAATGACAGAGTAGAGCAGACTTCCTCTAAGAACACTTGGAAGTGAGAAGGCCTGTTGCCAGACAGGTGGGAAGCTCTAGTAACTGCTGGTTGGTGGGAAAGCTGGGGAAGGTGTGCTTCTGGGCAACTATTTGGAACTTCTGGTTTTTTGGAAGATTGACTCCTGGGTTCCACCTCTGGTTATGTTACTAGGGATATTTGTTTGGCGGGCTGGGGTTGGGGAGGACACACAGGTCATGTTCCCTCCTGCCAATCATGTGTGGCCTGCTAGATGAAGCTATACTCTTCAGTTCAGGGAATATACCCTTCTCAAAGCACCAGGCTTTGGGGAGAGCAGTGGTATGGTGAGCCCATTTATAGGTGAGCATCTGCCTTTCCATGCTCATGTGTGTTCACTGCATCTAGAAAGATCATATTTCCAGTACTTCCTGAAGGGCCCAAACACCATACTGTTGGGCTTGGTTGATCCCTCTTTCACTAAGGGGGTCACGAAGAATTCCTAAGAATTCTCTTCCTTCACCAGATTGTTAGGGGCTTCCTCGGAGAAGAGATCCAGAGATACAACCAAACTGAACACCATCCCCATAATGATGTTACGAATTGACTTCAAAACTCTGCAGAATCTTCACTTTTGTTGGGATTATAGCTTGACATTCCTATTATGTTATTTTTTTGAACTGGAGTGTGTGCTGCCTTTCAGGTACAATTTTTGTGTAATAAAAGCCAGTGCATTAAGTTTATATAGACTACTTTCTATGCAAGACTGAGATGGAATAGATAGCAAGAACTATGTGCTGGTGGGCACTTGGGTGAGGAATATGTTTTCAGAAGGAATACCTCTGCCAAACATGGACTGAGGGAGGATGGGTTGTATATATGTTTCTGCCCACTAATTTTGAGCAGCCATAATGTGAATTAAATCATCAGAGCCAAGTAATAACCCAAGAATGGTATTAATTTCATGTGTGAGAGCTCAGATGGAATAAGCATGAATGCCGAAGTGAAACATCATCCTCAGATAGGCCCCGTGACTTCTCATTTAAAGACTCTTGTTAAGAATTAGTAGAAGCTTTAGGCAAAGTCATAAATATTTGCAGCAAAATAAAGGCCTGTTCTGCTCTTTATTTAAAGTGAAACACTGTATACTTGTTTCTCTCCAAAGTGAAATTAGGTATTTATCATTTCAACTGCCTTGGTAAGGTTCCAAGTTACTGATTTCTGCTGAAGATTTTACTATATTGTTGCACAATTTTAAGATAATTTTGTCTCAATGTCAACTTTTTTCACTGAATAAAAATTTAACTGGGTCAAAAAACAGCTATTTGAATATCCACTCTCTGTGCGTCCCGAGTTGTTCTTTTGAGTACAATAAAGATGTCTGACGCAGTCTCTGAACACCATCTGATTTGTCTCTTTTAAAAGGATGTTTATGTCATAGATGAGAGAACACTAAGACCTGGAATAATTTTGTTATTAACAAGCTGGTCTCAGATGGCAGATCCTTGAAGAACACGATGTCTTTGTGATGGCAGGAGGTGGGCTGGGAGTTGTGTTATGATGGCTGTTTTGAAGCAAATAGAATTATTCCATAGGGGCAGTGGCTAGAGTGGTTCCCTTAGAGCTGTAACTACATTTGCTGAGGGACAATTTGCTATGAAGGCAATTTTCAAATCTAAGAGAAGAAAGCACAGTGGTACAGAAGAGCATGGGTGCCTAAGAGTACTTTTACAAGCAGTGAAGCCTTGTGAAGAGTGTTGCAGTCCCCCCTTAAATAGCCAATGAATGGCAAGTTGGGGGGGGGACACAAGTTTTCTTTTTTAATTTTGATTGTATGTTGCTTTTGTTTTGCTCCAGAGCCAAAATAAAACTCTGAAGAATTATCATCTAGTTTTGTGGATTAGGGAGAAAGAAAGAGCCTCAGAGGTTAAGTAATTTGCTTAGGGGAAAGTAGGGAGTGAGGGTCAGCCTTCAGTCCCAGATATTTTTGACTCTAGATCTTGTTCTAGGGTGTCACTTTGCCAACAGTCCCATGCCACCATTCAGTATCAGCATGAACACACTGCACCCAACACATTGCACCAAGACAAATCTCCAGGGGAGGCCAACTTACTACTGGGTGAGTTTACCTGGTCATAGCCTAATAACTTTAGATTTTCAGACTTAGATAACTTGTCACCTAACACAGGATGGTATATTCGTCTCATAGCCAAATGCACCTTAACCAAGGAACTGTGACTGACATACAACATCACAGTGTCCACTTAGTAATTTACCATGGGAGTAGTGTCACAGAATGTCACATGATCAGTGCATTTTATCCCCTGTGGGGAGCTTTAGCTAGGAAGCCAGTTAGGTGATGATTTAGTGAACCTGGGTGAAGAACAAAGGAAGTAGAAGGGGTCTGGGTTAGAATAGTAGTTGCCCAGTAAGCATGGAATGAATGAATGAGTACTTTAATCTACAACAAGAAGCATGCCCATAAATACTTAATATCTGAAACTTTAAGGTTATAGCTCCATGCCCATTTCTATTAACAAGGTCTGGGAATGATGGAGTCTGATCTTTGGAAGTCCATTTGTGACAGTTTCCCTGGACAGGACTGGGAGACTGTTCCCAACTGCCACTCTGACTCATCTCTGTTTTGTTGTTGAGAAAGCTCATCCCTCTCAAACACCAGCTGATACGAATGCATTCAGACTGGATTACAATAGAAACTTACTGGCTTGAAAGCTTTTGTGTGTGTCAGATTATCCTGCCTGGTAGGTGATGATTTTGAATTTTAATTCTGGGAGGACATATCCTAAGTCCTAGGAGACACCTCCATGATAGCATCTGCCAATTCTGACTATATCTGTCATCTCTGGTTATGTGATACCTCAACCCACAGCAAGTTACATACAGGAAGAGGTGCTAAAGGCAAATACGCTAGCAACAATAGAAAAGAACAGATAATCAGAAAACTATGTTAGAGATAAAGGAATTCCAAGAAACTCAGCCTGTTGGGGTATTTAGTATAGGAACAGAGTTTTACATATTAGTCCATCTAATTAGAATTTTGAGCTGCTGTTCTTTGCTAGTCACTATGCTAAACTAAAAACTTTTCATTCTAAAGTGATCCTTTTATTTAGATGTGAATCTTTTCTTTAAAAGAGAAAGTTAGTCTTAGGTTAAATAACTTCTCCAAGCTCTCACACATGTAGTCAAGGGTCAGAATCAAGTTAGATGAATTCTGTTCTTAAGCTTGTGCTGTTAATTATCATGCTATGTGACCCTGACATTGCAATAGAAGAGACCTGTAATAGTGATACAGTCTGCATAGGGACTCCAAGGTCACAGGTGATACATTTTAAAAGCATTCCCACTGGGAAGATTAAAAAAATGACGTTTGGAGACAGAAAAAAACATGCTTAGATTTCTTTGCAAGTCATTTATGTGGAACACAATAATTCTTACTGATGGTAGAGCCAAGAAGCCTTTCTTTTTTAAATTGGTAAATTTCATAAATAATTCCATAGTTCAGAACACATAGGATTCTTTTGCTTTGCAGAACCCAGTAAAAGTTTACCAAAAGCCTTTGCAGCTTTGGAAAACATTTTCAGTGCATATGTTTTTTTCACCTTTATGTACACAGAGAGGCAAACCACCCCATTACAACGTGTTCTATTGAGACAATACTACGGCTTGCACAAGACTACTAGGGTCCCAGCAAAAGGAGGTGGCTGCCATTCTTGTCATCCAGCCCCAATTGACTTTGACACTAGTGCCCCGTTAATTAAAAAAAAAAAATGCAGAGCAATGTGAGCCTGCAACGATTTAGATTTATACAAGAACAATGATATTGTGCTTTTAAAAATGCTAATGTTGTCAGTGTCATGTTGCAACCCTATTTAATTCCAAAATGGCAACTGGTAACAGAATATTTGTATAAAACAATGACATTTCATACTAGGCATCAGCAAAAAAAAAAAAGATTTAAATGTAAATTAGACTTTTACGAAATTTGCCCTTTGGTTGTATGCCAATCTGTAAAACCTTCTGGATCAATGAAAAAAAGGTTTCATAATTAAGACTGATTTTTGAACCTCTTTCTAGTAGAGGCAGAACCTATTGGTTACCTGGGATTGCTCCAGCCCTGGGTGGTGCAGACCTGTCTGGGTATGCAGGTGCATGAGTTCAGTGGAATTCTTCATAGGCAGTGGACAACAGCATAAGAACATCATGCTCTTGGCTTCACAAGTACTTATTTTGAACCCCAACCTGCTTGACTGCTACCATGGGAGAAAATGTTCTTCACAGTAAGATGATACAAGGGAATGGAAGACCCCAAAGAGAAGGCTTCCCAAAGGTAGTCCAAAAGTATTCTGGTGATGGTGATATCGCTGCAATAGGTAATATCAAATATGTAATTACTACATGCCAGAAACTCTTCTGAGAGCTTCTTGTGTTTTCATTCATTGGCTCCTCACAACCCTTTAAGAAAGGTATTAATGGTCTCATGTTACGGAGAAAGAAATGGAAGCAAAGAAAGGTTAAGACATTTGCCAGTAGGAAGCAGAATGGAGATTTGAACCCAGGTACTCTGGCTCCATTACTCACTGCAGAGCCCCTCCACTGGGCTCATCTGATAGCACAGATTTGGATGTGTGTATCAGGAATTTATTTTAACCGGCTGGTTTACCTTTTTAAATAATATTCTTTTGTAAGAGGTGGATTATACCAGCAATTTGTATCCATTATAGAAATTTGGGGAAAATAAAAACACCAAGAAGAAAATAAGATCGCCTAGTAAATCCGAGATAAACCTGTGAACATCTGGTGTCCTGTCTTTTTATCACTTTGCCCTATAGGAGCAACTGCATCTGCTTACTTCTGTTGTGAAAAGGTCTAAGTGCAGGTGGGGAGTGTGCCAAAATCTCTTCCACTTCTCTTAGGTCCCAGTTCAACTAAAAGGCAAATCTGAATTCAGATGTCAGAGGGTAGAGCCATCTCTTCCCTTGGTCCTCTAAGCATTTTTTATACAGATTACATTGACGACCAGTGGAACCAGGAGACTGTCACCATGCTACCAGCTGCATGCCCCTCCTATTGTCACAGGCAAGTGCTTCAAGTCATTGTCCACACTAAGGGGCTTATGGGAGGACTCATTCATATCACTCCTATCTCTGGCTCATCAGACTTGCATTTTTTTTTTCTTGGAAGATAAGAGAACAGCTATGAAATAATCCCAGCAAAGACACATAAGTGTGAAGGATGTAAGAGACCAACCTTTAGCATGGACACATAAACAGAGGATGGACTGAAAAAGGTTGTCACATTTGGCATGTTAGTATGAAAGGAACTGACTGCCACTGGAAAGGTGTCTGAACTTTAGAGAAGACAGGGGAGTAATCTAAAAGCTGCTAATGGTGGTGAGACAAGTGTCCATGTGGTGGTTGGTGGGAGAAGAGGAGTTGGAAGGACCATGGGAGGCATGTAGTTTTTGGATGATGAATACTTTCTTCATTCACTGGCATAGAATGTATTAAATGACAAAATGGTTTTCCTAAGTCTTAAATTGCAGCACAAGGATATTACAGAGCTTATATAAAGTGTGACTTCCATGTGAATTAATGTTGAGCCCTCTGTTGGAATCTCATGTCTGCAGTCTCTAGAATAGTGAGGTGTCAAGCAGAGGAAAGAGAGAATCCTCAGGGTTTGGCCAGTTACTGGAGAAGTGAGAGGTGAATGGCAAGTCTCAAGGTCTAGTTAGCAAGATTTAAAACTCCCGGGTCAGTAGGGTACCTGGTGCATTGATCCCGTAGCAATATTCATTCAGGAAGTACTGAGCATTTCTTGTACATCCAGTCCTGTATTAGCTACTGAGGATGTGGAAGAAGATGGTTATAAGTCCTGTTCTCCTGAGCAATATGTAGTATAGCCTCAGGGCTGAGAAGGCACGCTGAGTCCATGTTGGATGGTTTAAATGATTTTTATAAAGAGGGAATGCAGATCAAGGATGTGAAGTGACTTGCTTAAGACTCAGTTTAATCAGTGAGCTAACAACCTTAATCCTACGACCTGGAGTCATGCCTGTGCTTGTGGACCCCAGATTTGTTGGTGGTGAGGTAGAAGACTCAGAGTGATTTCCTGCTAAGCCACAGGCTCCAACTCAGCTACTCAGAGAAACCCTACATTGGGGTAGAAGAGTGTGTTGTTGGCTGCGTACCAGAATTGATGAATTACATACTTTTTCCTTTGGCCATTGTTTTGTTATATGTAGATTTCCTCAAATGGAAGAAGGGGTAAATGAAAGAACCCAGTACCCAGATACTATCCTATAACTAACAC